GGGCAGACGCATCAAGGCCCCGGGGGGGGGGTGGAGAGAGAGAGAGAGAGGGTGAACTTTAGATCTCTCTCGACTAATGCCCATCGGGGTGGCGGTGGGCGTAGTCCAGGGCATTGGGCTCCAGCTGTGGGCTTGGGCACGTGTGGAGCTGTGGAGCGGAAGTTGCTTTGGATTTCTAGTCTCCCATGCAGGATCCCGCCCCTCCTGGCAGCCCTGACGGAGAACAGAGGACGGACCCCCGAGGGGCTCGCGGTGCTGCAAAAAGGTCTTGGTGCTGGAGGGATGTTTTGGCATCGTCTCTTGATGCGAGAGCTAGAGACTAGAACCGGTCTAGGGGCCAAGGCTGAGAAACGCTGGGCTAAGGGATGGACTGGCACAGAGGAGACTCAGGTTCTATTCTACCCCCCCACCCGTTCCCCCAGCTATGAAAACTACCTGGAAAACTTTAGGCCAGTCACTTAGCCCAACCCCCCTTGTAGGGTTGTTGTGGGGGGGAAATGAGAGGAAGCAACTCTTGGTGGACCACCTTGAGCTTCTATACCAAAGGTGGCTATAAATCTAGCAAATAAATAAAAAAATGTCTCCTTTTTTTCCAGTCTGGCAGGGTGAGGGTGCTTGGCCATGTTTTCCTACTCTTCCAGAAATTTGGGGGAAATCTCTCTCAGCAGATTCTTGCCTGATTAGAGAAAGAAATGGCTGTGAGCAACTTGGGCAGTTGGCAGATCGTCCCCCGCAATGCCACCGGCATGGAATGCAAGCGCTGGCTGGGGCCGTCTACAGGCAGCTCGTGAACTTTCCCGGCAGCCAAATGGAAATTGAAGTCCCCTCCCTGTTTCTTGTTTGGTCCTGTCTCTGCTCCTTTGCACGGACACGCACAGAGAGCTGTGATTGCCTGTATTTTTGTATGTAGAGGTTCGGGAGTAGGAGAAGCAGCAGAGCGGAACACGTGGAAGGGAAGTGCATAAATACAGGAAAAAACAGAGAAGTGTGTCCAGGTTAATGAAGCTTTTAATCTATATCGTTGTAAGTCTACGGCAGAATTTTGCTGGCCCTTATCTCTTAGGAGTGTGGTTTAAAAGGGGCAGGGTCAATGTCAACACTTTAGGGGTGTGCAATCCAATTGGTAAAGGCTGCAGCTGGGCAGAGCACCTGCGTTGTCTAAAGTCCAGCGCTAGCATCTTCAGGAAAGCCTCAGTGAGCCGTGAACATCAGCACAGGCCAGCTGGATCAGGCTAAAGCCGATGACTATCAAGCATTTTTGCTTTGCACGGTTTTGCCTCTCGGGTACTCACAAGCAGATGGAGACCCTCCCCTCCCGCCTGTTCCCCTGAACTGGCATTTGGAGGTCACTGACTTTCAGACCGAGAGCCCTTGATTAACCTGGCTGTGGATGTGTCTGGTCCCTTCTGAAATCCAACGAATTAGCAGCCATTTCCACGGCTTGTGCTTATGAATTCGACAGAGTAACGAAACACACCTGAAGAATGGCAGTTGTCTAGTTTAGATTTCCTTCCCATCAACTTCTTTGATCCTCGTGTTTGGGGGGAAGGAGAAAAATTCTCCCTAAGCACTTCATGCACGGTTTTATGAACCTCAGTTGTGTTCTTCCTTAATGGCTTTTTTGGTGGAGCGAAACAGTCCCAAACATTCCATCCTTTTCTTGTAGGGTTAGTCGTTGCCAATCAGTACTGATAAGACTGGATTAACTGGATCAGTAAATGGCCTGGCTTGACTCTAGAAGCTTCCTGGTTGACCCTCCTTTGCCCCTGGTTAACAAAAGTTGTCCAGACAAGGACTCACAATGCGCACATCCTAAACACACGGCAAAACAGCCAGAAAACACCCTTTCCAAGACATCCTATATGGGCGCGGGTGATAAGGAGCAGAGAATTCTACCCCTTTCTCTGAAACAGTCAAAAGGGCCTGCCACGCATCCTCACGCATGAAATAAGCGCCTCACCGTTAAACAAAAAGCTCAGTTTCTGATTGCAGTTCTCCCAATATATAACCGGAGGCCTGCTCTCAGACAGCGGACCAGACTCCAAGCGTCAGCTGCCCCCAGCCCGTGGCTCCCGTCTTGCAACAGGCGTTCTGTGAACTGGGCGCCCGCGAGACTATCAGGAACCAGCGAGAGATCTGACCGGGCGCGGATGTTCTCCTTGCCTTTGCCACAAATCCCATTTGGGGGACGCTCTGGACCTCCATCATTTCAGGATCCGCAGACTCATCTTCCGCTCAATATTCAGCTTTTCCACCGACTGCAAAAATAGCAGAGGGAGATTTATGAAAACCTGCGGTTGACTTGAGTGTTTAGCCTGAGAACTATCTTTCCATGCTAAGCTTTCAGAAGAGGGGACAGAGTTCTCCCACCACCAGCTTAGGGCTCCAAACTGCAGCCAAAGACTAGATTTCTTGTTTTTTGCTTTGCAATCCTAGGTCTGCAGGGCTGGCTGGGAATTTCCCAGCTTTTTAAATTTATTTTATTTATTTATTTAATTTCTATAGCCGCCCATCTCCAATAAGTGACTCTGGGTGACGTACTGTCACAAAAAACATAAAATAATTAAAACAATACAAAATAAATAAATATACAGTAGTTGCCAAGTAAAATTATTGCCATAGATGTCAATATAGCCAGGAAACAGGGTCCTTAACACGCTTGGGGCTCCAGGCCCGGGCACACAACCAGGCCTTCAGGGCCTTGCGAAAGGCCAGCAGAGTCAGGGTCATCCTAATCTCTGGAGGGGGAATCTTCCAGAGAGCAAGGGCTACTGCAGAGAACACACGTCTCCTAGCCCCCGCCGGCCAGCGTTCCTTGGCTGATGGGACCCGTAACATGCCCAACCTGCTTCTCCCTTCAAAAGTTTCCTACCAAAGTTGTACTCCCAGCACATCTGGAGGGCTCCAGTTGGTCAAGCTGGATTACCAGAGTGAAATGGTTGCCTCTCCCTTCCCAGCCTCTCTGTATCTGCCCTGCCCAGAAACTTCCCAGGTTTTTTGCCAGGCAGACCTTGGCAAACTCCTCGAAGGAGATAGCGTTGTCTCCATCTCTGTCGGCCTCTTGGATGGTTCGGTCGGTGATGTTCTCAAGCTGGTCATCTGTCACCTGGATGCCAACCATCATTCTCAAGACCTGGGTGGGAACAGGGGTGGCAGGAGCTGAGGGCGCCATGGATGATGCTGACTTCCACCCCTTGCTCATCTCTTGGGGAAAGCAAAACTTGGCTTTGCAGAGAAGGACTCTAAACTAAGAAGGGGCCAACCCTGACTTCGTGTTGCACGCTATCCGTTCACCACTCTCAAAGGGCTGAATCTGAACTCAAAGTCACTCTCCCCCCCGCCTGTTTTCACTGCAGGGTGAGGATAGAGCACAGCTGCTGAGCACATGCCCAGCACAAGCTTTCTGCCAGAGGCATCTGCAGAAAGTCAAGATGGCAGCCACCACCGTGCTGCCCTAACCTTTTTTTTACACACATTGTGTGCACAGCACATACAAAAAGGGGCAGGACTCTGATTGTGCAGCTGCAGCCATTCTATTGATTTTTTTGACCCCTTCCCATGCCTCTACTTTTTGTCCCAAAGTCAACAGAATTCCCTTATGTTTGAGGCTACAAGGAGTAAGAGTTCCTCTGTACAAAGTACATGGCTTGCAGACCCTTTTTCCTTTTTTTAAAAAAGGAAAAATAAATTAAGCACTCCCTCCTTTGGATTGCTCAAGCACGCTTCTTTCTGAAAGATCACCCAGCCATTACCTGTAGCATTTCAGCTCGTGAGATCTTGCCATCCTTGTCTTGGTCATACAGCTGAAAAGCAACTTGACCAGAATCAGAAAAACAAAGAATGAGAACCAAGGATAAACAACCAGAAGAGTAAAGAAGTGGAAATACTATGCCTGCTGTCATATCCAATATCATTCTGGAAGGCTGAGTTATCTGAGTGGCGTCTGGACTATCATTCAGAATGACGCTCCTTCTGTTACCATGTCATAGTTGCTGGATTTGGCCCTGCTATCAGAAGTGCGTCCTGATCATCTCAACTTCCATGAACGAACAAACACAAGATCAAGTTTCTACCCCTTTGAGCAAGGGGGGAACTACCTGAAGACCTCGGTTGGCCCCTACAGCTGCAGTCCACGTACAACTGGTGAAAAGTGGTGGCGTGGTTTCCCACCCTTTGAATGGGGAACACACGCACGCTGCAGGAGTATGGAAGAGGGATTAACACGACCACAGACCTTCCTCCCCCAGATCCGGACAAACACAACCCCATCCAGTCCTTACCATTCTAGGCTATCCACAGGCAGCCTAGCCCTGCCCTAGAGCTGCAAGGGGTCCTGCTTGGCATCTGCGGTGGCCTTTTGCTCCACCGCTCGTGCAACGTACTCACACTTCAGCTTGCTAAGGCGGCTGTTGATGTCCTCCGAGTTGCCAGGTCCCTCCACTGGCCGGAAGTGAGCGAGCACACGAGCAAACGAACGGAAGTCAGCCACCTCGCTCCTGGGGAAGAACAAGACCCTGCATTTCTGTGGCTCAGTGTGAGGATGCTCCTTATCCTGGGCATTTCTAGGAGAGTGGGAGAAGAGGCTGGCTCCCTGGGCATCTTGTCAAGGGGGGGAGAGGCTACACCTGCCTTGTACCTCTCCATGCTAGGACTCCTCTCTGCCCGGGTGCTGGGGAATCTAATCAGCCCTTGCTTTGCAAACTCTTCATGGAATCAGGAGGAAGCTTTAAGATGAGCAAACTGCAAGGGCTTGTAGGAAAAGCAGCTCGCTGTGTACTAGTTGACCTCCTCTGTGGCAGATGGAGTTGGAGCAGGTCGCTGGATAATCAGGAGCCTCTCGCCAAGAGGCACTGATCATGCCTTAGCCCCCCGATTCCCCACGTCTCCATCTTGAAACTTTCCCCAAATGGAAAGTTCCAGTTGCATGGGGGCCGAAGATACAGAAGATCGGAAATAGCGGGTCGTGGCTGCATTTTGCTCCAGCCCCCTCCTCTCTGCGTGGGCCAGATCTCGACTCTGTTGCTGCAGCCCTTCTTAGCTTTATTACCCAACGCCACTTCTCTGCCTGGCTGTAAACAAAAGTCACTGGACGCTGCATCGGGCTCCAATTCCCTTCGATTTGCAGGGCAGGCCTGGGCCAAAGGGACCGGCCACATTCCCCACTCATCCTCCAAGGCTGGACTTTGGGGCTCACCCCAGACCCACCCGTTTGGGAAGAAGGCGTTGACGATCCGGTCTCCAATGGGGTTCACCGCCAACTCACCAATCCCTTCCAGGTCGTATCGGCTACAGAGAGCAAAGAGAAAAATGTGACTTTATGGCACCAGCTGAAGCTTTGGTTTCTCATCAGAATGGCTGTCCTGCTGTTTTGCTCACGTGTGCTCCAATGCGGTGGACGAGAGAAAAGCAGGGCGGGTTTACATACAAATAATCAAATGCAGATGCAAAAACACTAAATCAAGTTTCCTGTTTCCAAAGCAAGAAGTATTTTAAGATGCTGATCTAAAATCTGCTTCCTGGCTTTCTTTGGGAATCTGCTGTTTCCCTGCTGATTACTACCTGCTGCCGAGTTCTCGGTTCCAACTACGGTCGCAGACTTGTTTCTTGGGCTCTGCATCTAGAGGCCGTTCAAACTACAGCTTCTTTCCAACTGCCCCAACCTACTGAGCAAGATAAATCAGGCCGGATCGAGAGGAAAGACCCTCCGTATAAAACAAAAGTTTCTGAGTAACTTTTTAACGGGACGGTGTCGTAAAATATTAGTCCTGTGCTGCTTCTTGCTAAGAAAGAAAAACAGCTGCAGCACCTTTTTTGTAGGTAAGAATCACTATTGATATTGCTGTAACTCCGTGTTTTTCAACCTCAGCAACTTTAAGACGGGTGGACTTCAACTCCCAGAATTCCCCAG